ACCACATCCATCGTGAGATGCCAGCATCAGGTGGAATGCCCAGTCTCCCCAAGGCTATAACCATGACTGTCTCCCTCAGGGGCCATGGCAGAATGAACTGGTACCTTGAACAAAGACACCAGCTCATGACAAAGATGGCTGATGCAATGGAAAAGAAGCCCTCTCACTATCCCATGCTCCCAACCCAGCCCTGCCAGGATCTCCCAGCAGAGGTGTCTCCCAGCGGAGGTCTCTCCCAGCAGAGGTCTCTCCCAGCTCTCAGCAGATGGACTCCATTCAGGGGCTTCCCCACAGAGTTTCCCCACAGAGACTTCCACCAGCGAAATCCGCTCAGCCTCTAACCCCACCACGTAGCTGGCTGGGAAGAATCTCGGTTGAGTGGAGTTCATTAAAGAGTCAACTACCTCCCACCATGGGCTCTCTTCCTTCCCAGCCCCCAGTGGGGGAGAAGGAATTCTGCAGACCCGACCACCCCTCCTGAGGGGAGTCCCTGGGTCTACACGTGGGGGGCAGTGTGTTAGGGAGGGTGACTATGGCTGCAGGTCAGGCTTACATTTCCTGGAGAGTCCTGTGTCTGGGTCTTACACGGAACTCAAGGGACAGGGACAGGGACAAGAGCCACCATTAATTATTCTAAGCTGAAAGGAAGTCATCTGCTGACTACTGGTTAGGAGGCAAGTATAAAACATCCAAGTATCTCAGAAGATCACGTTCTCTTTCTCTCTCCCCATCAGCTACCATCTGACACAACCAGCACAGAACCCTGTGAAACCACAAGCTGAAAAGACAACAAAGGACCATGTAAATGCCAGAAGGGGACAGCGTCTCCCCAAGTAAAGGCGTGCCCAGGTCAAGACCTTTCCCTCACCAGGTGTAGGACACATGAAGCCCCTGGACAGCTACAGCACCCAACCAGTCCCCCCTTCTCTGACTCAAGAGGCTGCCATCAGGGCAGACTCCAGCGACCCAAGTTGATAAGGCCAGAGGCATGATGCGCCTGAGCGTCAGATCTGGGCCTTCTGGTTTCTCACCACTGATGGATACACTGCTCTTCTGACTGGGCGTCCTTCTCTGCATGCTTGGCTAACGGGAGTCCACTCTGGAGAGAATGAGCCGGTCTTGCTGACACAGCCCATCAGGAATCTGAGTGGGTTCACCTGCTCCTTGGCCCCCTCCAGGCAAGAGCCAACTTGTCCTACTACGCTTCAACATTCAGGGAAGACAGAGAGGAAAACCTGAGTCTAGAAAGTGATCTCCTGCTGGCCCTCCCCTCCGTAAGTGCAAGCGCGCTGTACCCAAGAGGAGAATTTTCACCTTGACTCCTTAATAGAACTGCTCACCTGCTCAGGAAGAGGCACGCTGTGGGCCTCACTGTCCAGGCAGTTCTCTATGGACACGGAAGCCCTTAGGCCTCTTGAAGGCTGGAAAGAACAGACCACACGTGCTGGGATAACACAGAACCACAGACTCAGGGGAAGGTATAAACTGTGGGTAGGCTGACCTCACCAAGGAAAACTAGCACCTGAGTGGGGGAAAACCCAACCTTACTTCTGAACCACATTAGGAAGGGGAAAAAAATCCTTCAGTTATCTCATGAAGCTACCAAAATCCTACTCCAGAGTTTGCTGATTAAACCATGGTTATCTTAGAGATATTATACCTCTCTTTTAGTATATGTGCTGCTGAAGCGAGCACTACACCACTCTTTCAAAAAAGGAAGACGGTCACAATCTGAAACTTATGGTCTAAAAAATTAAAGGGTGTCAACAATCTATTCTCAAAGTCCATTTAATTTTTTCTTCACTCCCAGAGGCATCTCCCCATGCACCCCACACACTCCCAGCCTCGCCAAGACCCCCCAAGCTACCACAGCCTAACAAGGGCACACACTCAGTATTTCGGCCTCAGTTAGCAACTAGCTAGGGTTGAGCTGTGAGTCCCACTTGGCTTGACTAATAGCAAGTATTCACGTGAAAATTAGATAAAAGCTCTTTGAAAGACCAACTTCTTTTTTTTTTTTTTTTTTAAGTTTATTATTTTCAGAGAGAGAAAAAGAGAATGGGCTGGGGAAGGGCAGAAGAAGGGAACAGGGGATCCCAAGCGGGCTCTGTGCTGGCATGAGCGAGCCCTAAACTCAAGAACTGTGAGATCATGACCTGAGCCAAAGTCAGATGCTTAACCAACTAAGGCACCCAGGCACCTGCAAAAGAGCAACTTTCAGTGAGGCTGCTTCACGGTGCCTGGCACAGAGCAGGTGCTCACTAGCATTTCTGAGTGTAAAGGGTCAACTGCAGTGCTTAAATAATCAACAGAGCCTAGATCAGGGCAGGCCAACACCCAAGTCTTTCATAAAAACCTTCCACTGACAGAGGACTCACAGACACAGTAGAGGGTCTTGACTGCACTCCCGGTATTAACAGCAGTAATGATCGCTGCTAGACAGAGTACAGACCCTGCTACGTGGTCTCAGCCCTCAGCCATCCCAGGACTGCTTCGGCACCCACAAGGCACACACCCTGCTCTGAGTCCAAACACCCAGTCTGTGTCTTAGGGCAGGCAATTTCAGCTGCTGCACAAGGAAACTAGGCTGTACACTGCAGCCTCCATGTACCTATTTGCCAGCAAAGGACTCCAAGAGCTCTCACACTCCAAAATGTATTTTACAGTGTTGAGGTTTTTAAATCAAACACAAGCCCAGCTTCTTTTATCCTCGGTTTAATTTTCTTACTGCACCAAGTCAAAGTTCTGAGCAGGCAGAGGCCAGATTTCTCAAAAGGCAGTGGGGTACAGTCTATGCATCACGTGCATTAGAGTCACATATGTAGAGGAGCAAATGTGGGGTCCATCCTAGATCCAGCCCAACAGCTCCCGATAAGAGGAGCGCTCTTCTCGCCTGAGAAGAGGCATATTTACCAAGTTCCCCAGGAACTGCCCTCTGCACATGATAGTGTGAGAATTCTGTAAAGAAGGGGGCACCTGGGTGGCTAGTTAAATGTCCAACTTTGGCTCAGGTCATGGTCTCATGGTTTGTGGGTTTGAGCCGCACGTAAGGCTCTGTGTTGACAGCTCAGAGCCTGGAGTCTGCTTCAGATTCTTTGTCTTCCTCTCTCTGTCCCTCCCTCGCTCATGCTCTCTTTCTCTCTCTCTCTCAAAAATAAACATTAAAGAAATTTAAGAAAAAAAACCCAACTCTGTAAGGCAAAGAACCAGTGATTTGGAGAAAATTACTTGAGTTCATTTCCACCCCAGAATCATGTATGAGCCCCTTAAGCTCTCCTGAGCCTCCAATAATGAACTTTTTAAAGTAGAGCAAAAATATTCACTCCTGACAGGGTGATGGAATCAAATGAAAAAGGACTTGAAGCTGCCTGGAAATGGTAAAGGATAGACAAATACTACTCATCAAGACATGTAATGGGTGGGCCAGGCAGCTACAAAGCAAGGTGTCAGGGACACAAAGATGGGGAGCAAAAGGTAAAAGACCCACACACTCCAAACTCCACAAGGTGAAATGAATTCAGGGCTCTAACAGCAGTATCTGAGGTGAGGAGCCCACAGAGGAGGACTTGATTAACTCTGCAGTGATAACCCCCTAGACTGCTGACAGTTACAGACTAACTGGGAATGAAGCAAGGCATGTGATTAAAAAAATAATAATAAACACATTGAAGCTGAACAGAGACCATAATGAACAGAAAAACTTTAAACAAAACTCAAGCCTTTCTTCTATTAATATACAAACCACATCCCAATTCCCATCTTGTCTTCTCTATTACAAAGAAAAATAACTACCATTTACTCAACACTAATTACATGCCAGGTGCCATAGTGGAAACTTCTCCACAGTCATGGTTTCGGGAAATCCCCACAACTACCTACCTCTGTGATGGTGGTGGGATGTTCCCACTTACACAGGGCAAAGTAACTCCAAGACATCAAGTTACACGTGGTTTCAAATGCGGGTCTGGATCTACCCCTTTGTTAAAATGTCTGCACTGCAAGAACTCACTTGCGTTTAAGGAAATCTTTTAATGCTAAGTTGGCTGAAAGGCTGCAGGATGTTACAGCCAAAGTTAAACACCCTTTCTTCTGGCTGAACTGAGAAATATTTTAGTGGATTCATGACAGTTCACCCGTAGCCAAAATGCAGAGAGGAAGCATATGGCATCATCTCACTTAGTGAAATCTTGGTCAAAAGATCATTTTTCTATCCACGTGTATTTCTGACTAGCTAAAATTTACTCAGTACTTAGCCTATAGTAGGTAATATGCTACGATGTCTACGTGGCTTACCTTATGAGGTAGGCACTGTCAACTAACCTTGTTCTACCAATGAGGAAATTAACATACAAAGAGCTTAAGAAACCCAGAACTGGGGCTGGAGGAGGGTCAGCCCAATTCCACCGCTCTGATTCTCCACCACTTTGGAGTTCCGCTGCTTTCACCACTAGCCTGATGGGACCTCATCATGCTGCAAGGTTCACCTGCTGAGTATCTCAAGACCCCAAACATAAAGTTCCTTAAAATTGAGGGGCGCCTGGGTGGCTCAGTTGGTTAAGCGTCTGACTTCAGCCCAGGTCATGATCTCATGGTTTGTGGGTTTGAGCCCCGCACCGGGCTCTGGGCTGACAGCCAGCTCAGAGCCTGGAGCCTGCTTCAGATTCTGTGTCTCCCTCCCTCTCTGACCCTCCCCTGCTCATGCTGTCTGTCTGTCTCTCTTTCATTCTGTCTCTCAGAAATAAAACATTTTTTTTAAGTATACAAATTGCTACAACGGCTGCTAGTGATCTAGCAAGGAGGTCTTTCCAGATTCAGCCAAGTACATGCAACAGTACATTATTCCATCTAATTAGTTTTTACAATCCTGACTAGCACTGTGTTTGTAATTCACCTGCGTATGCACTCATCATGTGTTGAGTGCCTACCATGTGCCAGGCACAGAAGCTATCAAAATGACATAGCTTGTTCCCTTCCCCACCCAGGCTCAGTCTCCTCCTCACCTTCAGCTGTTTGACCTTCTCTTTTCAGCATCTGGACAGCTCCTACGTATTTCTTCAGTTGGACTTTGAGCACCTCGTTTTCTCTGCAGGTACAAGAATGTTAAAAAAAAAAGTTTTTAAAAAATGGCAATATAGACCACTGTGGGGGGGGGGGGGATCTGTGTAAAGAAAAATATACAGGGTGCATCTTCTAAATATTATTACATTTTCTGTTTTAGAGATCACCACTGGAGACTACACCATCAAGGGCACGTTTGCAGAATGCCTTCAAAAACCGTTGATTCATAATGAAAACCCATACTAACTGGTTCCAGTTCCCACAAAGTCAAGATGCTGACATGTGTTGTGCTCTTCTCTTTATCAGGCACTCCGTAATATTCTCTCCATTCGTAGAGGCATGTAGTAAGTACCATGTACTCAACCTGGGGAATACTCATTATTTTTATTAACTGCTACATGCATTGAACATTTAGTGTTTGCCAGGCATCATGTGAGGTCTTCATCATATAACAGTTCCAATGTGTTGTTACAACACTCATTTTACACATAAGTAAACTGAAGTATAAAGAAGAGAAGCACTAAGGCCACAACCACCTGCACATAAGACCATATTCTGGAACACAGAATTTAGGCTACAACAAGACTCTAATCTACCAAATTCACTCCCCGGGTACACTGGCTGAGGAAAAGAACATGAGAACCAGGAGAAGAAAACTGTCATTCAGTAATATATCACATAGAGCTCAGACTTTACCTATGTCACTTCACTGAATCAGCATGCATTCATTCATTCTTTATTCACTGGGAAAATGTTTCAGTGTCCATCATGTATTAGGCAAAATGACCCAATATTCTACTTCTCAGGTGACAGAGGAGAAATTCTCAGGGCACAGATAAGGTCTGTGATTAAGGTCAAATGGCCAAGGTCAAGGTCAAAAGTAAGGCACCTTTACCAGACACAAACCCAGGTCGCTCTGCCCCCAAAGCCCAGAAGAACTCTCCTCAGTCTCCTTTGGGAGTCTGACTTGGTTTCTCATCAGTTCCACACCACCACCACCCACCATCACCACTGGGAGAGCTGCCTCTCCCACTTTCTCTGCTTGTACGCCTCCCACCCAAAGGTCTTGAACTTGAGTGGTTTTTTTTTTTTTAATATTTTTTTATTGAGATGGGGAGAGGCAGAGAGAGAGAGAGGAGGGCAGAAAATCTGAAGCAGGCTCCACACTGACAACAGAGAGGCTGATGTGGGGCTTAAACTCACAAGCCTTGAAATCATGACCTAAGCACACCACCAAATCAGCCACCCACATGTTCCCAAACCTGAGTGCCTTTAAATACCAGAGAATATATCCTCAGTATTACAACAGCTTTAAGACTGGTTTCTTTTATAAATATAAAAATTTAAATGCTCATCACAAAATAATCAGAAAACATTTAAGCAAGAAAGTAAAAGTCATGTGAGAGCCCAACATCATGATATCAACTCCGGTGATGTTTTTATAGCTATCCTCTCACGCCTCTCTAGGGACGCACATATACACAGAGTAAACATAATTCTTCCTGGATGAAACATTTTTCACACTCTTAAGTTTTTTGTTTGAGGTCTTTTTTCCTTTGTTTACCACTCCACTCCCCATCCTTCTTCATGGTAACCCATGTGGAAACCCAATGTATACATGTCTTTCTCCATGCTCATGCAGTCACAACCAGCCTGATACACTCATACCGTTTCCAATGTGAAGCCAGCTGTTATACACCTTGCTGCCGCTGGGTTGTCCTGTTTCACAGTTCCCCACAGGAAGCTTCTAACTCAACTCAATCCATTTACGGATGGAAACGCCAGTCCTCTGTATGACATGCACCACACATTTACGCAGCGTAAAAACTTTAGACTGTCCGTCACTGGTTCTGTTTTCGATGCATCCAACTACACTTCAGCCCTGGGTTTGCTATTTTGCTTTTCTGCACTTTTGGCAGGAAGAACGTCACCAATTGCAGACTCTACCAACTCTATGCCATCTATTCAGGCATCCCTTGGGAACACTGCATTCATCTTGGAAGCTCTCGGTAGTACACCACAGTGGGGGGGTCCCTTCACCACCACCACCCTCCTCACAAACATCCCCTCACGGATGTTCCTCAAGGCATCGGCACCCTCCCCACCTGTGATATGAACAGCCCATGTCCAAAGCTAAGGAGCCAACAAGTCCAAGAAAGGCCGATGGGAGGGAGAGGCCCACATGGACTGTACCGCTTACTTTCTGGGATTCCCTGGGCAAGGTCTTGCCACTCATCCCAACCCACTCCTCATCTCCACATGGAAATTCAGGTCACACAGGATCTGAAAACTAGGGAAAGCTATTTATCTGCATTTCTTTTTTTTTTTTTTAAATATATTCTTATTTATTTCTAGGAGAGAGAGAGACAGCATGAGCAGGGGATGGTCAGAGAGAGAGGGAGACACAGACTCTGAAATAGGCTCCAGGCTCTGAGCTGGCAGTCAGCACAGAGCCCGACGCGGGGCTTGAACCCGCGAACCGCGAGATCATGACCTAAGCGAAAGTTGGACGCTTAACCGACTAAGCCATCCAGGCGCCCCTATTTATCTGCATTTCTGTGTGGCCTAATTTGACAAGGGTTCACTGCAGAATGTTCTCCACAAGGCAGAACACGCAGGCTGGTTTGGGCAGGCAGATAGGTGAACTGCGTGGAGTTCTGGCTGCTCGGGCTGCTCCAATTTGCTCCCAGCACATGGACCGACCCTCAGCTTCCTTGTTCCTCTGCGGCACTGCAGCCACCACAGAAACGTCTTCTCTCCTGGTTTGGATCTTTCAACAGTCTCTTAAGATTCTAACTAAAAATTAGATGTGATAGATAACAACCACGGTTTTTAATATAAACGGATTTCCATCAAAATGATGAGCAACTGTGGAGAGCACATCAAACCACTGGATGAGTGCCTCTGGGAGCACAAATTCATCCCAGACGATTCTGCAGCAATGAACTTGTCTGACTTTTGCAGGAAGTTAACACTTTCAGGTCACTAGGAATGAAGTCCTTTTTGTCCAATTTTTTTTTTGAAATAATTATAGATTCACATGAAGTTGCAAAGGTGAAGAGCTCCTATGCCCCTGGCCCAGTGTCCCCATTGGTTATGAAGTCACTATGAAGCAATAGCGAAACCAGGAATCTGACATGGGCATTGCGTGTGTGTGTGTGTGTGTGTGTGTGTGTGTGTGTGTGTGTGTTTCCATCCAGCCCACTACTTTCACTGATGCTCCTAAGAATCTTCTCCCACAGTGTGGCTCTTAAGATGGAATACAGACTTAAATGGCCATGACAGTCACACAGGCTACGCCAAGGAGTAAAGCAGCTCAGGTGTAAGAGGGCATAGGGGGCAGGAGGCTATGAAAATCAGGGAGCTCCTGCCCCACCAAAAGTTTGGTTTTTTTTTTTTTTAAACTTAACACATTACTGGGGCGCCTGACTGGCTCAGCCACTTGGAAGAACATGCAACTCTTGGTCTCAGGGTCATCAGTTCAAGCCCCACATTGGGTGTACAGATCACTTAAAAACAAAAACAAAAAAAATCACTAGGCCAAAAAAATAATTCCCAGGTTCTGGACAACTAATTTGCAACCAGCTGACAGGACTTTAATTTGTAGCCAAAAGACCCACAGAGAATCTATTATTCTTATTACACAGGTTTATTATGATTATCAAATTAAATATGCCTTTTTATTTGACACCTCATGAGACCATGGAATGGATTCGCTGATTAAATGAATCCTAACTATACAAGGGCTCCGAGACCCTCTGAGCATGTGAAAGATGGGGGTGGCAAAGCAGGCCTATTTTCACAAGGGCCTTCCAGCCACCCCACGCCCCACTGCCAGGTGCCAGTCAGCCTCACCAGGTGAGGGGCGAGGTGAGCACGGCTGAGCAAAGCCTGAGTAGGGCTCTGGGTGCATCAGCTCACAGGCAGTGTGTCTTCAGAGATGGTCCACACAGCCTGGAAGCCTCTGCACACAGGCAGCATCCCAACGGGCTCCTCTCAGGGATGAGGGCACAGGGCTTTTACTTTTAGCTTTTTTCTCTTTTGGTCACTCCCTCATTTTCTAAAGCTAAGTAATGTTTGATGACAAAAAGACACTTGCACTGCCTAGTCCCTTAAATTGGAAATGTAAAGAATCTGCTTAGAAAACTTGAAGAAAATGGTAAAAAGGAAAAGGAAGCTGCTAGGGAGCAGGTTACCCCTTCACCTTCTCCTGGGGGGTGCAGGGAGGCACCCCTACCCTGTCTACACTGGCGACACGTGGCTGGAGCTCCTGGGAGGGGGAGAGCTCTCATTGAAGAGACACAGATGTTTGCCTCCCTGTCCGTTAAGACTGTAGAGCAACCCCCTCCTCTCCCTTTCAGAGGACTCTCCCCTTCTTTGGTGCAAGGGTGCACACCCCTTGGATGAACATCACCCTACCACATCTAGTTCTCTTCGGAACCAACAGAGTTGGTTAAACCCTGACGTGCCATCCAAAGACCATCTAGAAAAGTTGGGGGTGGGGATGCTCTTGTTGCTAAGAGCTGCCAGTGCTCAGACCTTCCAGTGTCACAGGCAGCTGCAGGGTCCCGAGGGTGTGACCATTTCTTCTCGTCCCCCTGGGGTGAGCCACTGCTGTTCCAGGTACAGCTGAGGGCTTTGCACCCTGTTTGGGACCAGTCAGTGACCCACAGGTCCCCAGGCTGGCCTCTCCCCAAGGATCTGGTCTTTCAGCTGTAACTCACCCTCTGCCTCAAATGGGGGGCGGGGGCGGGGCTCAACCATCACAAAGATGACAACGAGAAAACCACTGAACAAGAAGGAGCAGACGTAGGGGCTCCATCAGGCAGACCCAGTCTTGGGGCCCAAGCAACTGCAGCAGGAATCCAACTCACAAAGGCAAACCAACAGAAAGCCCCCTTCCTCACCCCCTCTTACTTGTCCACTTCTCTCCCCTCCCCAGGGGCAGTGGGATCTAATTCACTCAACCAATGAGGAAACACCACAGAGAATGAATGAGAACACAATTTTCCAAATGGGGTACAT